CACGGAGAGACTCTCCTTTAGAATGAGTTTCTGAACACAGAGTGTGGCACAGTTGTGCTGGGCTCTAGGTTCAGATGGAAGTACGATGTCTCTGAAAAACTGCACACCCAGTTTTCTCTTCAGACCACACACAAGTGAGACTTCCCTCGCCTGACCCCTCCAAGGGGCCTTGTGGGAAGAGTGGATGAGTGTACTGGAGTGGGCACTGTGTTCTTTCTTAAGCATACAGGAATGCATAGGTTTTCCTGCCCACCCCATGTCCATTCTACTCTGGCGGAGACAAATGGCCAGAGCTGAACTCTCTTGAGTTGATCTCTCTGCTGTTGCTCATGACCTTCCTTCTTTCTTCTGTTCGTTCCCCCCCTCCCCCACCTCTTGAAAATGCAGTTGCATGAATGTTGCCCCACCCACCCAGGAAGGCTACAAGTTTAAACTTCTCCGGTTCTGGAATGAAAGGCCTTTGTAAGAAGGCGATGCTGGCAGCCCGGTAGAGGCAATTTAAAACCGGTCCCACCAGTGCAGCGAGGAGAGCGATTCTCAGGCCTCAGAGGCTTATCCAAGTGTGACAGATACAAACAGCCCGGTTGCTTTCAGAAGTCGGCTGAGTCAAGTGGACACCGGTGGGAACCACGAGGCCTGCTGACATGGGAGTGTTATGTCCTGGGGGAAATGCCTGACGGAGAGAAACAAACACTCCCAGGGGAGGGGACTCTTTAGTTAAGAGGAGAAGCTACATTAGTGAAAAATAGCTTAGTTATCATACAATTCCACTTAAGATTATCCTAAAAGTTAACAGTGTGGAATATTGTCTTAGATGTTTAAATATATCTCACAGAGGTTAGGAATAATGTTTCAAAGAAACTTGTGATAACATATTCCTGCCGATATTGAAATACCATGTGTATAAATGTGGCTATCTGAATTAAAACGTATTTGGAAAAAAACAAAATAAACATGTGGAACTATGGCCTCGAGGGAAAGCAAGGGAGTAGAAGAGGCGTGAGGAGGTGGGAATTTCTGGGAGGAGTCGGAAGAGGGGGAAATGGTGATCAGAATATATTGTCTGAAAAAGATTTTTAAAAAATAGATAATCAGGCCGGGCGGTGGTGGCGCACGCCTTTAATCCCAGCACTCGGGAGGCAGAGCCAGGCGGATCTCTGTGAGTTCGAGGCCAGCCTGGACTACCAAGTGAGTTCCAGGAAAGGCGCAAAGCTACACAGAGAAACCCTGTCTCGAAAAAACCAAAAAAAAAAAAAATAGATAATCAGACAACCAACAATGGCCTCTGTCATGAGAAAGGTACTGCTCTATAAATACAGAAGTTTACACAAGAGTTCAAGCATTCAAGTGATGTATGTTTCTCTTATTTATTAAGTTTACAGTCACGGAAGAGAGACTACAGGAATAAGGAGGATTCCAAAGAAACACTGAAGAAGTAAGCTTTGATGGTACTGTTACTGTTAGGACCATTCATTTCACTCCTAAACATATACTTCACAGCTCCCCTCGTGCGCCCCCCCCACCCCAAACCTGCCCTTGCACATCCTAGGCAAGCACTCCACTACTAAGCCCTCTTATACGTTTGCTTAAGAGAGAGAAAAGGGCCAGAGAAACGGCCACAAGTAAAGGCAGGCACTTGCTGTCCAACCTGACTGCCTGAGTTCAGTCATTGGGCCCCACACAGCAGAGTAAGAGACCAGCTCCCACAAGTCGTCCAACCTCCACGCTCACACCATAGCATGGTCATGACCACCCCACTCCACATGCACTAAATAAATGATTCTGATGAATGCACAGAAACCAGACATTGGTCTAAAACTGAACTGTAAAGAAAAACAAACAAAAGGAGGAAAATAAAAGTCCCCCTTTAGCCAGGTGGTGCCGGCACCTGCCTTTCATCCCAGCACTCGGGAGGCAGAGGCAGGCGGAGCTCTGTGAGTTCAAGGCCAGCCTGGTCTACAGAGAGAGTTCCAGGACAGCCAGGCCTACACAGAGAAACCCAGTCTCAAAAAAACCAATAAATAAATTTTAAAAAGCGTTCCTTTAGAAAATTTGGATACAGATGTTCACAGGAGCATCATCTTCAGTAGCCCAAGGAGAAACAAATCAAATGCCTATCGACTGATGACAGGCTAAAATATGACATGTCCACACAATGGAATATTGTTTGACAAGAAGAAAAGTGCTAAATGTGCTATAAAGTGTGACATTTTAATACATGAAAGAAGTCACCAAAAAAAAAAAAAAAAGGGCACGTATTACTTGGCTCTGTTTATATAAGGAATCCAGGGAGGTAAATTTAGAGAGACAAGAAGTAGACTTGTGTTTTGACACATTTGAAAGGACAGGAGATGGAAAGTGACTGTTATGGACTGGGAGGGTGCTCTGGGAAGGATGGAGGGTAATGTGTTAAACTTAGATTGTATGATGACCACACAATTTTGTGAATGTTCTAAAGCTATTCACTTGTGTCCTTTAGTCGCCAAATGCTATTGTATACAAATTTTATCTCGATGAAGATGTTTTAAGGGAAGCCGATTGCATTAACTTGTTCAAAATGAGTTGGGCTTCTAGATCTAACTAAAATGGAACACAGCTCTAATTGAATTAGACCAGCAACCTACAGTGAACCTTTGGAAAACAGTAATGGGTAGGTTAAGTCACCCAAGTATGGAAGCCCGAGGCGGGGCAGAGTGTGACTAGACAGATTATGTTCAATAACAAAACCATCCCTACAAGTTAAAGATGACCTCGGAAGGTCAAATCTAGAAAGCAGAAAGTCACACACAACTTCCTGTGAAATCAGCAGCCCAGAGCGCACGTTAACAGCTGCATGAACTATGACTCACTCGTTGCTCCCTCCGTGGGAACACAGCTGCCATCAAACGAAGCAGAGAAAGTCTCCAGAACAGGTTGGTCGCACATGTTTATCCCACAGAGAGAAGAATTCAGGTAGCAAAGGGTGCAATGTCCAGGGATCAAATGCCTGTGTTAAGAAGCCTCAACTACACCACAAGATCTCTGATGACCTCCAGTGGTTACAACAGAAATTGCTTGCTTTATGGTCCCGGAGACTAGAAGGCACTGTACAAAGGGGGGAGGGACAGGAGGTTTGGTCTGTTACTTTTTCTGGAAAGCTGCAAGGTAGGGTAAAATGACGATATTGAAAAATGCCTTCCTGACCTTCAGACACTGACGGGAGAGCCCTCTCCTAGGGCTGGGGAGATAACTCAGTGTTAAGAGCACATACAGCTCTTCCCAGAAGACTTGAGTTCAGTCCCCAGTACCCATGTTACACAGCAGCTTACAAATGCCCATAACTCACCTCCAAAGGATCTTTCATCCTCTTTAGGCTTCCTCTGACACTTGTTCCCTACACACACACACACACACACACACACACACACACACACACACACACACGTAAATAAATACTATTTAAATAAAAGAGTCTTTGCAATACATTCAACACAGCCAGGGAGCTGTGTCCTTCCAGTGAACCCCACCGGGAAGCCTCTGAACAATTTACTCTTTGCCCAGAGATGCAGGAGTGAGAGGCCAGTGGAGAAGAGGGGAAAAATAGACCCACTGATCTCAATGTAGGGAGAGCCTGAAGGAAGGGTAGAAGGCCGTTTTGAAGTTCAAGCCCGTTTGACTGCCCCCACCTCTTGAACATTTTTGATAGTTGTGTAAGAAATTGAAGGTTAACCTCTCCTTGAGCTCAAAGTGAAAGCAACGAACACCAACCTATGCATACCCAGAGTTTCACTAAGCAAACAGTTGGAAATACGCCACTTCCTAGAGTCTCCTCTGCATGCTCGACAGAGTTCCAGTTCTCTGTCCACAGGGTAAAGAGTTTCACTCCATGGACAAGGGACAACATCTCAGAAATGCCATTCAATTATGACCGTTGGCCGAAGTTACCAGCAGCTATCCCAGATGGACTCAAGGTCACCTCTTTAGAGATGAATCCTGCAAAATCATCTTTGCAGAACCTGCCACTGGCCCAGCTAGGTTCTTCAGGCAGGTCCAGGCATACTGAGGAGCTTTCTAGAATATAGTAGTTAGCCATACTTTTCTTTTTTTGGTTTTTCGAGACAGGCTTTCTCTATGTAGCTTTGTGCCTTTCCTGGAACTCACTCTGTAGCCCAGGCTGGCCTCAAACTCACAGAGATCCACCTGGCTCTGCCTCCCAAGTGCTGGGATTAAAGGCATGCGCCACCACCACCTGGCACAAGAGTCCATTTCTAACATTTAGCTGGCTATTTAAAAAACCACTGGTTGAGGCAGAGGCAGGTGGATCTCTGTGAGTTCAAGGCCAGCCTGGGCTACAGAGTGAGTTCCAGGAAAGGCGCAAAACTACACAGAGAAACCCTGTCTCGAAAAACTAAAAGAGAGAGAGAGAGAGAGAGAGAGAGAGAGAGAGAGAGAGAGAGAGAGAACACTAATGATCTCTAGAATACTAATTCCTGATCGGAACATTAGTCTTTCTAGCTGGGTGATTTCAACTAACAAATGTCACACTGTCTATGCCAAGAGGAAGGAAGGAATAAGAACAGGACTCCATTAACAATCAACACCTGCTGTGCTGTGTATCATGCCCATGACCCTGAAGGCCACTAATATTGTCCCTTCTTACATTTTTGCCCATTTAATAATCATTTATGAAATGTCTGCCTATGTTCCCAATATCCATCTGGCATATATTATCTATCTGATAGCTCCAAGAAGAATTTAATAGACCAGGAGAACAGACCAAGCCATTGACAAATGTTTGCAAAAATGAAACAACCTCCCAATAGTATGAAGGTGTTAAGCCTCCAGGGCTCTGTTTCAGTCTCAAGGAGGAAGCAGGCATTAGAAGAATCTGTTCATAAACTGTAAAATAACAATTGCCTCATTTTTTTTTATAGAGAAAAACTCCTTAAGGGTTATATTAACATGTTACCATATTTTGGTTTCCTTAAGAACCAATAATTACATCATTATACTATTTTTACCTTAGTTGTGATTTAGAACATTGTGAAAGAATTGTGAATTAAGAATTCCCGCCGTTGCTTGTTGGTCCAGAGGCCAAACCAGTGAGTTATGAGAGTAACTCTTTCTTGAAAGAGCTAGAAGAGAGGGAGAAGGAGATTTCACTGTCCACTTCCATTAGTTCTCAGTTGCTAAGCAGTCGGTGGGCTAATAACCTCGTAGCTAATATTTACATCATTCATGGCAGTTTACAAGTACTTTCACATAGGCTGTAGGGTCTCTCTTCTGGGCTTAAAGTGTTTTTAATCCAGCCCATCCAGGCAAGCCAGGGCTTGTTGGTGTGGGCCAGTGGGAAAAACCAGGGGGTGTCTAATTACAGAGGGGCCTGGAAGAGCCCTCCTGGAGAACAAAGGGCAAAGATGAGTCACTGCTCCCGGATTTACCTGGCCTTAGTGTGGCTCAGGGTGAGAATGCAGACATTCTCATCCTATCTACAGGCCCTACTCACTGAATTGTGGAAGCAGGACCATTCAATAGAGGTTTGGTGTGGTGCTCTTGACTCCTACCTTTGGAGCTTTATAATGACCATTGCAACTAAAAATTAGTTATTATCGCACAATGCCATTGTTAGCTGAGTCTCCAGTGAGGACACACAGCATGAACCAACATCTCTGAAAGCCGGGTTTCAGCCGGCGTTGCTTACACAAAGGCATGTACAAATTCATTGTCCTTATTGTAGATCAGGCTTTATCCCCAGCTCTACCTACCTCTCCTCCATCTATGGAAGCAGCTGAACCTACATGAGCTCTGTCTCCATGAAAACCTGGCGAGATTGGTCTGTTGTTCAAAGAATTCTTCTTGAATTATTTTTCAAAAGAACAGGCGCTCTCTCGGGCTACATGGAATCATGCAGTGGGCCACACGATGGAAGAGTAGATTAAAGACACAGAAACATAAGTGAAAGTGTCCTTGCCAACTCTCCAAAGCCTTTCCTTACTTCCCTCCCCCATCCCCAGAAGCTCATGAATGTCCTGGAGGTGCAGAGTGAGAGCAGGGGGCAGATGTGGTGCCTCCCCTAGGTAACAGAGTCGTGGGTGAGAAGACTCTCACTTTGAGACATAGCCAGGTTTTTATTTAAAAAAATTTTAAAAAAGGGCCCCAAAATTAAACTTTTTTTCCTTTAAAAACATGACAATGTAAGACTCGACATACCCAGTAAAACTGACTTTACCAATTGAACTCATTTCTACTACAGAGCATGGAACTCACCTGTCTGTTTAAGGACTGGTTGGTAAAGGGGAGTCCAGGCACTGAACCTCGTGCGGAAGCTCTCCACTTCCAGACTTTCCTGGGGAAAATTCCTTAGTGACATCTCAGCAAATTATTTTCTTCCACTTCTAGGAACTATAGGTTCAATTTAACAGATGTATGGTTAAGAATGCTTAGAAACAACCACAAATAATAATTGTTTTTTCCTATAGGAATTAAAGAATTACTATATCCATTAATATACAGGTGAACCATACATAGAATTACAATTCAGGAGTGTATTTACTATGCATATAGATATATGCATAGTAAACCATGAAAATATCCACCAAGTACCCACGAACTCCCAAGTGTTACATTTATTTTGTATTTTTATACTTGTATCCAGGTCTGAATCTAAACAAGAGTTTTTACTTTTGCTGGGAAAGTAGAGAGCTAAAACGGGTTTTCGGAAGTGCCGTAGGTAAGTATTTGTTATCTATTGCTACATTACCAAGTACTCCAAATTTTAATAGTTTAAAACATCAGACATTTTTTTTTTAAATCTCGAGATTTCTAAGGGTTAAGAATCCAGGTACAGGGTCAAGGAGAGGACCTTGGGCGAAAGGGCTTTTGGCACAAGCCCAATGACCTGGGTTCCAGGCCCTGAACCAAAGTAAAAAGCCAGGTGTGGTGCCCACATCAGTGACCCCCGCACTCCAACATTTATTTGAAAAGCGGAAACAGGAAAATGAGCCGAAAACTCAAGTGCCATCATGGCAGTCAGTAGTAACGAATTTACTGAAGTAACAAAGTAACATTCAGTTTCCACCCCTTTGTATAAAATACAAGCGCACTCTGTATAGTAAACGTCTTGTTTTTGTTTTTGTTTTTTTTTCAAGACAGGCTTTCTCTGTGTAGTTTTGGTGCCTGTCCTGGATTTCGCTTTGTAGACCAGGCTGGCCTCAAGCTCACAGAGATCCTCCTAGCTCTGCCTCCCGAGAGCTGGGATTAAAGGCATGCGCCACCACCTCCGGCATATTAAACATCTTCTGACTACCATTTTACTTTCCTCCCAGTAGCATAATATGGAAGATGGATTTCCATCTTTCGGTCCCCAATAACTTCGTGCTGTGAGCCTGTTGAGGACGCACAACATGGACTACATGGATGTGATCGCGGCATCTCGTTCTTAGAACTCATTTCTGCATCAGCTGAAGATCTAAGGAATAAGTCACACTAAATTTACAGGAGATCTTTCAGAGAAGAGAGAAAAGGGTGACGATTCCAAAATAAAACTTTGATACCAAGTTCCCACAACAACTTCCACACGGAAGGAATACTGAAGGTTTACTGCCATAAACAGAGATGTAGAAATCACCCCAAACCAACAAATTACATTGTTTCTTCTTCTCCTCCTCCACTTCTCAGGGTTCTATATCATAGGCTGGCTTCTAACATGCTTTAGCTGAGGATGACCTTTGAACTTTTGATCCTCCCGCCGGCCACCCGAAGTGCCTCAGTGTTGAGATTACATGGCTATGCTACTACCTGGGCTGTATGTGGCGCTAAGGGCTGAGTTCAGAGTTGGTGCCAGACACCAATTGGCATGCCAGACACAGATTCTACAGGCTGAGCTACATCCCCAGCTCCAGATTTCTTCTTAAAATGTAAATGTGACATAATGTCAGATACGCTACACTATGACATGGACTCCAATATGCCAAATTTGACATCGTAAATCAATATACTTATCATCATAAACTAAACAAAGAGGAAAAGTTATATAGTAATTTCACAAAAAGTGTATTTTATAAGCTTCTGGAACTTATTCATGACACTCACACAAACCTTAGTAAAGCAGCAGTAGGGATATTTCCTAATCCAAACAAGAGTGCATTTAAGAAATGTATGTCAAACACTGAACTAAACAGTGAAGTAACTTTTTCCTCTGATTACAATTAGCATCTTTATTTGACATTGTTCTGAGTACTCTTTGAAGTGTGATAAACCACTAACAGAAAAAAAAATGTGTAATAATGTTAAGGAAAGAAATGAAATTGTCATTTTTGACATATATACTAAAGAATCAACAGATAACTTGACAGGTTTAAAGGCTGCTTCTTACAAGGTCAACAGGCAAAATCCATTTTATTTCCATATGCTCACAAATATTTAAAAGTTTTTAATGATTTATCTTTATTTTATGTGCATTGATGTTTTGCCTGCATATATGTCTGTGTGAGGGTACTACATCCCCTAGAGCTGGAGTTACAGACAGTTGTGAGCTGCCATGTGGGTGCTGGGAACTGAACCAGGGTCCTGCAGAGAAGCAGGCACTTAGCCACTAAGCCATCTCTCCAGCCCCTCACAGACATTTTTTTTTAAGCAACAATGTATTGTTTATAAATAACATTTAAAATCCAATTAAAATATGAAGAGCATTCCACATAGAATACTAAAAATTATATCAAGAGAAATATTAAGATATATAAATAAGAACAAGTACCTTATAGATGTCTGTGGTGATATTATATTTGTGCTCTAACAAATAAAGCTTGCCTGAAAATCAGAAGGAGGAGCTAGCCACTAGTTAAACATAGAGGTCTGGAGGTCTGTACAGACAGACAGGAAGTGATAGAGCTAGGCGGAGAGAGGAAGTAATAAGGCGGAGTGGAGAGAGGAGCTTGCTCTCTTTCAGCAGAGGATTTCATAGAGGTAAGAACTAGTGACTGGCTGTTCTGCTTCTCTGATCTTTCAGCTTTTACCCCAATATCTGGCTCTGGGTTTTTTATTAATAAGACCTTTTAAGATTCGTGTTATATCTGGCACCCAATGTGGGGCCACTAAAAACTATATCAAGAGAAATGTTAAGAGATATAAATAAGAACAAGGATCTTATAGATGTCGGCTCTCCCAAATTACTCTATTACTCAGTGAGAATCTCAATCAAAATCCAAAAACTGTTGAACAATTAGAAAATGTGTACAGAAGAGCAAAAGACAACTTGGAAGAGAAGCAAGCATCAGGACTCAACTGCCAACAGTTCGTGTGTCAGGATCTGCTAAGCACGTGAGATTTTGACCTAAGAAGAGTCAAAACAATAGAAGCCCAGAAACTGAGCCATGTGTATATGGGCACTTGACTTATAGCAAAGGTGGCACTTAAATTGCAGGGAAAGGAGAGCTCCAGCCAGCCACACACAGAGAAAGACAACTGCCCAGGTCACCCAGCTGATCACGTGAATCAGGACAATCTATTGCTATTGTTTCGAACCTCTGGCTTTTTTTTTTTTTCTTTTTAAGGTGGCTTGTTATTCAGAATTAACAAAACCCAATATACCTGGAGGTAATTTAAGCCATATATAACTTTAAAACATAGTATTGACATTGGGTTCAGAGTGATGAGGGGATGAAGAACAGGTGATTACAAAGACAGGATGAGAAGACAACTGGGTTAGTGAGCTATGGGAAGCTGAGCAACACTGTTGTCTGTGTGGACGTGACTGATAGTGTAACCATGAACACATAAACATGACTAGAGAGGTTCCAAGCAGAACATAGAAACCGATGATTCATTAACCTCTTTAGTTACATATAATAAAGTCCAGTGAGACAGCCAGCACCAACATGAAAGGTCTGCTCAGTTTGGGGGGTAGACTATCGAGGGACAGTTTCCAGCTGGCAATAGAGTCTCAAGTAACAAACAGCCTCTGGACAAAGATCAAACAAACAGCATGGCCACGAGACTCTTTGGTGAGGTCTGTGTAAGATTTAGGATAATACTGGGTAGACCCCTCCCATTTAGCAAGTGAAAGATTTTTTTTTTTTTTTTTTTTTCCGAGACAGGGTTTCTCCGTGCAGCTTTGCGCCTTTATTGGAACTCACTCTGTAGCCCAGGCTGGCCTCTAACTCACAGAGATCCACCTGCCTCTGCCTCCCAAGTGCTGGGATTAAAGGGTGTGCGCCACCACGGCCTGGCAAGAATTTTTTAATGATTTATTTTTAATGATGTGTATGTGTGTGTACCTATGTGAATCATATACCGTGTGTGTGCAAGTACCCACAGAGACTAAAGAGGGCTACAGGTGGAAGAACAGCATGGAGGAAGCCAGAAAACTCACAACACTGTGGAAAATAAATGGTTACTGTTACATGGCCGCTGACATATGGGATGGTTTTGTTACCCAGCACCCAGCGCAGACTTAGAGAGCCAAGTGCAGGGGCGGGGGGGGGGGGGGGGGGGGGGGGGGGGCACTGGGAAGTCAGATACAGCCTGGTGGAAATGTACTTGAGACAGCTGTTTGGCATTACTTACTGAAGATGAACATAGACGTATAATTGCCTCGAACAGAAAAAGTACGCATAGGAATTAAACATCAAAAAGAATATTTACTGAGGCACTGAATTGCTTCCAGTGGGGAATCATCCAAGCATCTATCAACAGCTGGATGGATACATGTATCATGCATCCATGTAGCAGAATACTGTGTGTCATGGGATGGAGGACCTGTTACACTAAAACCATAGATGGATCACACACATACCCTAGTGACAGAAGAAGCTAGGAACAGAAAAAATACAGTTTGACCACAAGGTGTTAAGAATCAAGACAGTTTCCTTTGGAGAAGGAAAGAGCAATATTTGGGAGGGGGCACTAGAGGTGATTCTAGGGGCTAAGAATGGTCTAGAAATAAGAGTCCAAGTGAGTTCACGTCATAAAACTTTGAGCCCTATGGTTATAATTTGCCTTTTCTTAATTCTCTATTCTGAACAAGAAGTTTGTAAAGTGATATATAGTTACAACAACATAAAAAACTATTAAGGACCATGAAAAAAAATGAGTACAAAGAAAACTATAACACTTTATTGAAAAACTATTCTAGCTGGGCAGAGGTGGCACATACCATTAATCCCAGCACTTGGGAGGCAGAAGCAGGTGAATTTTGAGTTCAAAGACAGCCTGGTCTACAGAGTGAGTTCCAGGACAGCCAGAGCTACACAGAGAAACCCTGTCTCCAAAAACAAAACAAAACAAAACAAAACAAAAAAAAAAAACAAAACAAAAAAAAAGAAAGGAAGAAAGAAAAGAAAAGAAAGAAAGATGTTCTAAAGTCCTAAGTGAATGGAGAAGTGTGCCTCCTTTATGATCGCAGG